CCATATTTATTCCATGTAGATATAATTGAATCATTTTCTACATTTGTATTTGGTTCGAATAAAACAATTAGCAATATCTGAAAGACATAATTAGTATACATTTACAGTTAGTAATACATTTTAAGCAGATACTTTAATAGATACTAATAAATAATAGAAATAAATGCTGTGATAAAAATACAAATTTATATATAAAAAAATCCTCTAAAATTTGTGTTTGTTTTTTATTCTATATTGAAGTGCATATTTAAATTGTAAATAGGTTTAATTCAATATTTGGTCTATTATTTACATAACGTTTTTTAAACTAAATCTTAAATCTTTTTAAATCTTTAATAATTGCATAGGTACAAGATAACATGCCATTCACATTTTTTTTTTTGCTGCAACATTAATTAACTATTAAAGTGGTAATAAAAAATGTTTATTTTCAATAGTTTTTTATTAAAATTAAAAACTTACTACGGATTTAAACTTACATTTAAACTCTTTTCCAGATTTTCATAAATATCAAACTTAAGGGTTTGATCCATATAATTATTAAAACTTCGTACATTAATAATTATTGTTTGTAAAATTGCCATAGCTTGTTCATGAAGATTTGAAAATTGAGTCCAATGCAAAATGTAAATTATAATTTTAGGATATACTGTGATTAAATCTTCATTTTTRAATTGAATAACATGATGAACAAATTGTAAAATTAAGTCTATACTTTGTAATGTTATGTGATAATTGTTTTGAGACTTGTCAATATGTTTAAAATTGTTTGTAGACTCCAGTATTTTAATTAGATTTGTTTTATAGCTAAAACATTAATAAATTAAAGTTAGAAAATAGTATATACTTACATCAAAATTTAAAATATAAAATAAACATACTTATCATATTCTAAAACCGAGTTTTTCCAACGTGAATGTTCACTTATATCAATAAAAAAGTCTACTGCATGGCGTAGAACAAACACATTTTTTAGTTTAAGTCCTTCTTCCAAAACAACAAATGTTACATCAATTAAATTGTTAACATCAACATCTGGTATTTGACCAGATACTTGTTCTAAAACTAATAATAATTTGTACACTTGAACTTTGATGAATATATCATCAGATTGTAATTTTAAAAGCAGGCGCATGAAAGATTTAGAATGTGTACATTTCACAAGTGTAAACATGGCAAATTTGTTTTTACAACACACATTTACTAAAACGCCTAAACTAAATGATATAAGATCTTTGTCTTCAGTTGAAATCCATTTTACCAACAGACTAATTAGTTCAGATGAATGGCCTTCTTGCCATTGAATTTTAATTCTATATGTCAATTCCTAAAAATGTATAATATTTATATTTTGGTTCTAATATATACTTATAACTAAACAGGGCTCAGAGATTAAAGTACTAAAAAAATTAATTTTTAGAAATTTAATATGCATAAAAAATTTAATAACATTTTGACTGTGTATTGATACAAAATTGAGAATCAATTAACAACGTGTATGATGCTATTTAGGATCCCATATATTTAAAGTAATTRTTTATTATTTCATACACAGGTCTGAATGTTTTTTGTTATTATTTAGCATGGATTAAATGCATGTTTTAAAATGTGTATACTTATTTCGTTTGAATGTATTGCTGTATAGGACCAATTTTAAAATATTATCTTTTAGAAGACTATTGTTTTTTTACTTTTATCATATGCCCTGGGTGAAAACTACAAAAATACGAACGCGAATGATGTATTAATTATGCAAAACTAAATAAAAAACATTTAATTTTTTTTTTTTACTTTTAATTATTTGAGAATAGRTATTYTCTATTGGTTATTACTTCAATACTAACATCTCATTTACATAAATTCCAATAATTTCAAATCTAATTTCAAAAATTCTTGATGTGTAAAAACAAAAATTCAACTGAACTCAATTTGATCCATTTATATATATAAATAAATCTTAAAACASCACATACAATTATAAATAAACAAATTKGTGACTTAATTTGAATGTTTTAAAATAAACAAAAAAAATAAAATAAATATGCAAAGCACTAATGAGCCCTGCTTATAAGTTAAAATTAAATTTAATGAATAGACTTTAATTTACCTGAAGTAGTTTGAGTATTTTAATTTTTTTATCTAGAGATAATTCATCTTTTAGTAATTTTGTTAGAATAAGTGTAAATTCATTATTGTTTAGTATTGTGTTTTGAAAAAATCCTTGTTTAACAATAGACTGCAATAAATTAACAGCAGCCCATGTAATCTCAGATTCATCTTTAATATTGCTCATCARCTCATATAAATTAATGCAAAACTCATGTCTTAATGCATCTTTAGAATTAAAAATGAATTCATGCTGTCCAAGGATCTAAAAATAAATTTTACAAAAACAATAATTAATGAATTATTATATATAGCTAAATCATTTCTACTATAAATATGTAATCACAAATAAAAATAACATTAACTAATAATATATTATATTATATTATTGAGTAAATATAAGTTATTATTATTGTTGCCCATTGTTTAGCATAACTATAATATTATATAACATTATTTGAAACTAGAAATTTAGTTTTTAACTTTACTTAATTGTCTWAATACAAATTAACTGAAATTAATTAAATAGATATAAGTGATTACAATAGAATATTTAATATTTATGAGTCTTTACCAAAAACATTTACAAGATGTAAATGAAGGTATGTTACCTAGTAAAAGTTAAACCAATCAATAATATATGAATAATATTAGGCTATTCTAATAAAACTTATAGATACATTTAAAATCATCATACACTAAAATTTCCGTGTAAACAAATTTTGGCAATTATTAGCATATTATAAATTACTCAAACAAGATTTAATATTACATACCTGTAATGAACAGAGAACTGCATTAAAAGATGATTCATCGCGACAAAATGAATATTGCTTGGCAGCTACAATAAAATTCTTTAAATGGTTATGAAATGAAGGTGTCATTAAGTCATCCATTATTTTGATGSAGGATACTTATTTAAAAACTTTTAGAAAMCCTTACTTAATAAATAGTTAAATTAAAATTAAAAATTGTAATAAGTTCAAGTTTAAATCCATGAATTAAAATTAACTGAAATTACTAATCAGTAATTAATCTTGAGATAGCATAGAACCTAACCAGAAGTTCAGAAATTAATATTTGCGAGTGATATCAATATTGAATTAATTTACAATCATTGTTAGATTGTATTTTATTGTTCTTAAATACTTATGTATGTATGAAATKAATTATTAAACAATCATAATTAGTGAAAGGAGTTGACTGATTTAGTGATTTATAATTTTATCTTTTTATCTATAAAGTGCATTATAATATTTTATTATCTTAAATATCAAATCGCTAATCGCTATGAGTCTGTAAAAAGAATTTAAATATTTTTTAGTTCTGTTTATTTTCCGTTAAATTCTGATAAAAAAAAAAAAAGTATCAATTTAAATCAATATCATGGAAGAGAAATATTATATCCAAAGAAAGGCCCAAATAATTGTCCAGGAAAAAGCCATGTAAATATCGCCAATATCGGTCGAGTTACAAAAAATTAAATAACAGAAAATTCCTAACCATCTTACAGGTGGTTACAACACAAATCTATGCTCAACAGATCACGTTTAGCTTCGTTATCAGGGCCCAAGAAGGGGAGACTTGTACAGGRGACCGGATATTTTAGTGGCCAATTGAAATGAATTTGTAATTTTTGAAATTTTRATAAGAAGAATTATTATAATATATTAAACAAATAAACAATATTTATAGGGCTGCAAAACATTTAGTATAGGAGCCATAAATTTGATAGAGGCCTGTTCGTTACTTTAAATATTATACATATATGTCATAATACAACAATACAAGTATATTATGAGTTAATACGCTAAYAGAAGATATAAATAATCAACTTTTCATTGTTGAAATCCAATTCTTAATTATAATGACATATAACAGACATCATTTTTCCATTTTCCATAGTTTTTTTGAAAGTATCATGAATGCCAGTTTGGAATACTTTTCAAAAATGTATAATCCTATTAAAGTAATATCTATTGTTTAAAATTAAAATCATTTTTCCCCCAAATGTTTTTCTCCAAATCAATTCTTGTTTTTAAAATTCTGTTTGTTTTTTACCTATGATTCCTCAAAGTACTTTTTAAATTGARTTTGCTACTAATGGTCAATATTTTGATCATTAAACTATGTGTTTGAATATTTTAAACACAAAATAATTAGATTTTACAGATACTAAAAACAATCTTATAGAACAAAATGAACATTCTGATTCAATAATTAAATTTTTTTTTTTAAATAAATATATTATAAAAAAAAATCAGTCTTATCATAACTAATTCATATTTTTTACATGTTGACATATTTTTAAAAATGAATTATGAATATATAAGGAAATAACATCATTAACGAGTTATTAAACTCACTCATAGAAACATAATTTGGTAATATTTTTTATATTTTTTTTTAGTGTTTAAAATAGTTGCTGATAAGTATAATATTTAAATTAGTCTTCTCTCAAAACTAACAATTCTTCTTGTGTAATGTGTATTCGTAACTCTTTTTCAACCAATATGTCACAGATGTTTGGCAGTTCTTCTTGAAGGTAAAATGCAGCTTCCATGTATAAAAACTGAAAACACATTTTTTTAGTTCATAAAATATACATTTAATAAAATTAATAATTAAATATACTTTATGCCATGGACAATTTTCAACGGCTTCATAGTAACATTTTTTATAATCCGATGGTGAGGTTTCAGATATATAATGTAGATAAAGTCGCCAAAACATTGGACACTTTTTCATTCCAGTGATATTGCTAAGATTTCTTATGAAATAGTCAAACAAATTACGCATATTTTTGCATACATCCAAAATATTTCCACCACCTATAAAAATAGAAATTTAAATATATGGTTTTTGTATAATTACATTTTAACTGATTTATAAAATATAAATAGTAAAAGATTATAATAKGTTATAGGTACAACATTTAAAAATCATGTTAATGTTCATAATAAMAATGCTTTTATTTTCTACAAAAATTTGTTTTAATTATTGCAGAACCAACCATTCCAGAACTCCAGAGTTACTTTTTAAAACACAAAAATACTTTAATTGCAGATCGTRGGAGATATATTTAACACCAAAAAATTCTAACATTACAGATACAGTTTATAACCTTATAACATTGCATTAAAAAATCAATACAATTCAATTTWCACCAAATACAAAATACGCATATTTTTTAAAACATGTTTATTTAAGTCAAAAAATAAATTAAAGAATCTTACCATATATACTCATAGAACTGTCATTGTTGTTCAAATGTTTTCTTGCTACATCACTTGCTATTCGCAATCGTTCTCTCCCCACGAGAATCAACATTAATCTGACAGTTTCCATATTTGTAGCTAAAACATTGTCAACATAAACATTTTCAATTTGCCATAGTGGTGTTCCAAAACCTCCATGCTTAGTCTGTAAAAAAATAAATGAACAACTTTTATTGTTAAATGAGAACAAAAGCATAAAATATTAAAAAYGTAAGAGTGTYGTACAAATTTGAATGATCACATAAAATTATTAATATATTATTGAAAACAATTTTTAATCATAATACAATTTATGTTTTTGTAATTTTTTTATATATCTTTAACACATTTTATATTAATCTTAATATTCAGTATAGGATTTTTGTGGCATAACTAAAAAGCTTAATATTTAATTAAAAAATGTTATAGATTATAAAGATGTAAAAAAATATGTTTAAATATATAACAATACGTTAGTCAAAGATATTAATGTAAGAATGTAAGGCAATTGAGTCAGAAATTTAAGTTGAATCAATGTTTTACTACTAAAAAAGTAAAAGTCATCTGATGCATTGGTGCAAGTATTTATATTATATATCTAATTAAAATTGGGGAATAAAGAACTAACTACTGAACTAGAAGATAGTAAAATTGTTTATGTATATATGTTTGGTAAAACTGATATTGATGACATTTCCCAGCCAATAATGTATTTTATTTCTTTCACTGATCCAGACATACTATTACATCCAAAACATAAACATTTAGATCATTCACTGCTTCAGATGAAGTATTACACTTTAGTGTTTTATAACATTATCATTGGCTAGACAATTATTTTAAACTTAAATAATTAGATCATTGAGATATTATAATGTTTGGTTAAAAACTTAATAAAAGAAAAAAATTAGATCATTAACATCTTGAAATTAAATTTTAAAAATGTAAAAATTAAATTTATTCTTATTTTATATAGCATACATAGGTTGCAGAGCACAAAATAGTGTAGCTTAAAAATGTAATACTAACAACTTTAACAATAATATTGATTCAATTTTTAATATTAATACATTTAAATTAATATACCGTTGTGATAATAATTATATAGTATAGAATAACATTAAAAACAAAGCTGTAATCATTAATTTAATTTAAAATAAACAAAAGGTTAGGTCAACCATTATATATTTGTATATAACAATAATATAGTGTACTATAAAGGGAATTACTATCATCCACAAAATAGCATAAATCCACTGAAGCATTCAGTTTAAGATGTACATTAAATATACTCAGCTATCTCCCAATATGTGATCTACTTCCGTGTACTATCAAACTATAAATAAGAGTATAATATACTATCTACCATTTTAGACTAATGTAACAGATGGTCATCCATMAAATACCAACCAAAATTAAATATTTCATCTTATTTTTTCATAATGATTAATGATACATAATTTATCATGAAATAACAGTTAAGTTTGTTTAGTGTAGTTTTAAATGAAGATAAAATTGTTAAAAAAAATGTGTGGTACAAATAAGACTTATTAGAGAGGTACTTCACAGAATATTGGAGGTGAGGATTAGAGGATTAAATAAAACAAATAATATTCCTACAAACAAATACGGAAAATAAGTAACCCCTACCGTACCACCCCACACCCAATGACMTATGTTGCAACGGATTCACCTAATAAAAAATAATATTTTTAATCATCCTTATGATATATAAATTATGTTTTGCTGATAAAAATACATTTAATTTTTTTTTATATATTTTTGATATTGCAGTAAATTATGTTTATTTTGATAGACCAAATATTGGGAGATCAGTATAAAAAAAAATGTCTTTATATCTTTTTACCTCATTCCAAAGCATTGAAAATAAAAATTGCATATTGTGAGAGTATTTCGATATTGAACTTCTTAAACACATTTTTAATTCTTTATGATACGTTTTTGATTTGTTACAATGATAATTTAAAATKACAATCATTGTTTCAGTTAAGATTTCTTCAGCAGCACTGTAACAATTACAAAYTTATTAATAACATTTAAACTTAAACGCATATATAAAAATTGTTTTACTGTATTTTGGGGTAGTCATTTGTTGTAATAATATTTTTAATTTTTTTTATTATATCTCTTAGCATAGATACAGAATCTTGTACATTTTGAGTCAAATATAAAAACCAAGCAYGGCAGACAATCCATTCAATGAGAAATTGTGGTAAATAATTATACTTCAAATCATAATATGCAAATTGTTCTTTTTCATTTAGAATGCTCTCCGTGACATTATCGAATACAAGCATAGCCTTTTCTGTTAAATTCAAACTTGCTTGCTTTGGTAGTACTCCGGTTGCAAGAGCTATAAGTGTTTGTAAAGCTTTTTCTCTAAATCCAAAACAATTATTATTAATAATGATTAATGATATARGTATAATTTATTTTGATAAAAAAAATTTTAAATGTTAAAAAGATATTACATACTTGCATTCAGATTGCATCAATATTTCCACTATATTTTTATAAATAGCTGTGTATGGTGCTCGATAAGTAATATTCAAATAAACTGGTTGATTACCCAACAAAACRGATTGACTATCAATTAATTTCTGTAAAATTTTTAGTGCATCATCTTTTTTGCCTACTTGATTTTTGAGTAATGCAAATTCAATGAACARAGGAATATTATTTCTGCAACACAAAAATAAMTTTTTTCTATGTAAAGTTATTTTATTTGAATATTAAATATTACCTGTACTGAGGTTTTCCAAGCAACATTTTTACTTCAGACACTAAACAACTGTTATCAGAGCTGAAATTTACAATCATACGATATCTTTCAAATCTTAGCCACCACACCAAAAACATATTGGATTCATCAATAT